AGAGCATATAGAAGTGACCTACTTGTAAAGGGAACCTCTCAACAGTAATTAGTAGGGTTTGATAACTAGTTAAATTAACAAACATTACTGTTGAAAGGTTACTGCAGGATGGTCCAGATTTGCTTCCAGTTGATGTCCACATGGTCCCGCGGGGAACGCAATTGATCACCGTATATACATGCCTATGTTAACTCCTACTATATTTGTTTAAAACTGTCCTCTTTGATGCCTCTATATACGCATGAGAGTATCTGATGAAGGATGAGAGTGTGAGACAGTGAGGAAGAACTTCGTAGGACATCGAACTTTTGGGTGCTCCTATAGAAACCCACCCACAATTAAGTTTTTTTTTTTTTTTAAATAAACTGTTAAGGTTTCGAGCTCTTTTAATATGCGTGTGTGTGTTACATATATATCCGTGAGAGTAAAGAGAAAAGTAACAGAATAGTAGTAATAGTAATAATAATAATAATAATAATCAGTCGCTCTCACGAGTGGTCCAGTTCTTATATTCTTCTAAGCATATTTAACGAAGTCACGATACATGGCCATTTGAGCATCTCCATTTTATGCGTATCCATCAAACCCTCAACGTTAAACATCATCTAGGTGGAAATGAAACCCTAGGTGACCTTGGATTGAAACCAACTCATGAACAGAGACAATTCGGGAATGAAAAAAAGAGATATATGGTTTCATACATGTGAATTATTAGGAATTAGGATCGAAGGGGACAAGGGTCATCCAACATTCATGTGATCATTGATAATCCACACACATATACATAGACGCCAAGGAAAAAAGGAAGAAGAAAGCAATACATGTTCATTATATTCATTTGAAATTCTGTATTCAGTTGGGATATTGATGTGTTGTATATTTATTTAATTTCTTTGCTTCGTGATTATTGTCTATATATATACATAGCATTGCTACAATAAAAAACCCACAGTACGTACCTTCATTTAAAAACAAAAATAATGGCAAAGCAAAAGCAAATCTAGCTTTTTATCTCGGTTAGGGTCAAGTAGAGGTCCACTGCATGTTGATTCCACTTGCATTGATCCATATAGTTCCTTTAATTATTAAATTTAATTATTTAAACTTAGGGTTGGGTGTCATGAAATAGAAGAAAAACTCAGTTAATTAAAAATGCATTTCTAGTTCAAGTTCGACTCATATATAAATACCTCTATAAGCTTCCAAACTACTCATCCAAGCCCTTCTTCTTGGCTATTCTCTTTAAGCCCTAAATCACCTTCTTTAAACTCTCACAGATTTTACATCGCAGGGCATGGCAAACAAAACAAATGTAGCACTATTACTCATTGTCTTCTCGAGCCTGCTTTTGTTCATGAATTCAGAGGCACGCGTTCTCCAAAATCGGCCATTCATTCGCAAGAATATCAACAGCCTGCGGCTTCTTCATGAACTAGGTTATTATGACCTGTCGAAGCAAATGATGCGTCATGGTCGAGTTATGGAAGAGGTTGGTCATGAAGATAGACCATCACCAGGAGGACCAAATCCCAAGCATAATCGTGAATCACCACCGAAGTTCTACTAGAAAGTAGGTTCTGCTGTCCAGAGCTTGCAACAGGTCTTGCCCAGCATATAGTATTTACTTGACTATCCAGATTTTCCAATAAAAATCCTAAATGCGCATGCATGCCTGCTTTCCTTAGGATCATCGTATGTTGGAAGGCATATGTAGGTACGTACGTAGGGAGTGTGATGTATTTGTTAGGTTTTGTGTGCACTGTTCTGCATTTACTGTCGGCCCTTTTTTTTCGTTTACTTTTCTAGTTCGAATTTTCTTTTCAGACGTCGTGTATGGTTGAGTGAGGAGGCTTCGGCCGGGACGGATTTTGTCTTGTGCGTGTAGTTTTAATTTGGTTTGTTGCGTTATTGCTAATGATATAAATTTCGTCGTTACTATTTATATAGAGCATTATTTTTTTTTGGCACAAAATATAGAGCATTATATTACAAGCTTCTGTTTGGACCTTGTAAAATTTTAATTAAAATTATATGATAATGAACTTATGAATCTTTTCCTCTCGGGTAATCCATTTTTAATTATCTCAATAGCATCACTATCGAGAAGAAGAGCCTCAAGCATCATCAAATTAAAGGAATCCATCCATTATTGAAAAAATATACGTAAAAGTTGACTTAATATCTCCTCTCTCTCTCTCTCTCTCTATATATATATATATATATTATATTAATCAGATACTACAGGTAATGAGGAAGCACTAGCGTTTTCTAATAAAAGCCAACGCTTAACTCGAAGAAAGCCTTTAATATGTGTGTGTGTATAACATAACACAAGAAATAAAATTAAACTTATAGTACAAAAAACAAATTTAAATTGTTTCTCACACAACTCATGATGGTGCATTTTGTTTGTTTGTTTTTTTAATTTTGTTAATACAAAAAACAGATTTAACTCATTTCCCACACAGACACAAATATCAATGTCGTCGTCAGTAATGTTAAACTTATTGTAATTTTTTGTTTGGAATAAACGTGCTACTGATAATTAGAAATTACAATCAAGTTTGAACAAAATGCCTCCTTCTACTTTTACCCCTCCTCCTCCCCTCCTAAACAAGGAGAGCAATGAAATTGTAAACAGTGGATTTTATTTCTACGTACGATTTCGTATGATACAATACGGACCCGTTTAATTAATATAAATATATACAACGTACGTGCTATATAACCAGAAATACAGTGCTGCTGATCTCTCGTGGAATATCGTGCTGGGTTCAAAATTTTTTTGCTACACTTTATGGTTGACTGTCTTTTAAATTTCAATTTGCTGGGGCATTTAACAGTGGAAGTATGTGAGTGGATTAGTGTAATTATAATATCTGAATGCATGATATATGCAAACACGTACGGAAACAACAACAACACACATAAAAATAACGAGTGGCGTGGTTTGATAATGGAGTGGTGTGTGCCAAGTCACGGGCCTCTGATTTAAAGGCCATGGCTGAACGGTCCTATGTGTTGTAGGTCGTGCTAGTATATGCTACTCTTTTAAAATTAAATAATCAAATTTAATCTAATGATGCACGGTTGCAATAATTTCTCCACTTATTAGCAACGGTGGGGAGAATTATTTCCCTACTTATATTTCCTAACAAAAGCAATGATTTAGCCGCATTATTTTGAACAACTACACTATGGATGGTTACACGCGGATTATTGAAGTTGAAGTAATTGAGTACTATTCATCTCTTATGAACGGCACGGCTTCTGTAGGTTTTATATTACATGTAAATAGAATTTGTTATGGTTTTATATATTATGCATTTTTGGCATATATTGAACGTGGTGCATTGGTATAGGCCCAACCCTCAAGCATTATTATTCCTTCGCCTCTTTAATTAGGGTTCAAACCAAACAAAGGGCATATGAGCCAGATCAATTGCATCTATTTATAATTTATGAATAATTTATGGCATTGTAAATTTTATTGTGTGCTGTTGAATATTGATATGCTGAGGCAGAAGATATAGTAGTTAGGGTGATCATAGCTCTAGTTTACAAATCATCCGCATATCAACATGAATTGAATTAGTATTTATAATTTTAATTCAATGAGTATAACTTAATTCCTAAAATTCAACTTGTCAAATTCAGTTTTCCAAGTTTCAATAATTTAATTTGTTAGTTCCTATATTTTAAAAAATTATTAAATTATTAAGGGTTGAGTTGTAATAAAGTTATAAAGGATGAGAACCAGCAAGTTAAATCCTGAGAAATTGAACTGCAAGGAGTTAACTTTTGAGAACTGAATTTTAATTCAATTACAATTACATGAAAAATTGATTAATATTTTGTTGCTGATTTTTATTTTAATAATTGAGGCCCGGTATACTGGAATTGGATCATGGGCGCTAAGTAAACAAAATTCTTTGAGCTCCAACAGAGAAAAGCCCATTTGAGACCGACTTACAGGCGCAAAAACAAAAATACAAAAAATCAAACCAGCCATCCCCCATCCTCGCCGGCGCGTGGAAATCCTTCCGAGCATTGGGCTGCTCCGGTCTCACACCGAAAAGGCCGGTACTCGTTACGCGCTATACCTCCGTCTACGAAAACTTTTCAAATTTTCGCAATTGAAAGTCCCCGCCACAAAAGTCTCTCGCCATTTAATTCCTCGGTCACATACACGTCCCGCCCCATGCTCCATCCTATTGGTGCGTGAATATCACGTCCTGGATGCTCGAGTGAGTCCGCGCCCTTCATTCGTGATGCTATAATACTTCCCGGGCACGACTCTCTGTGCGCCTCAAACGCTTCGTCTGGTCGATGGTTCTACACGAACCCACCGTTGCCGTACACCTGGAGTCCGATAAAACAATCTTTGGTTATAGAGAGAGAGAGGGGAAGACGAAGAGTTCTAGAGAGAGAAAGTGTGGAGCGAAAGAGAGGGTGGAAGATCTGATCCAAACCCAGGTAACAAGCTCGAAACCCTACTGTGCCTTGTTAGGTCTAAAGCTCGTTCTTTTGTCCCTCGTACTTCTCCCTCTCCTTATGTGTATAGGTTCATGTGTCTTCGTCTCTCTGGGTGAAAGCTGGTGTATTTCGATTTCGTCCTAGAAGGTTCTACGTAAGCCCTAAAAATTTTGGGTCACAGGGTCGAAAGGCCTGCAAGTTCTAGTTCGCGATTCTTTCATTTCTGTTTTGGAAAACCCTAATATTAGACACAAGACTGGGATTTGAAATTGGTTTTGGAACAAGGTGAAAAAAAAAAAAGAATTAGGGTTTTGGATGTATGGCTTCCGGGCCTATATTAGGAGGAGATGATGGAGCTAGAGAGAAACAGAGGTACACAGAGAGCAAGGTGTACACGAGGAAAGCTTTTAAAGGACCGAAGAACAAAGCTAACGTCTTGAACACCGTCGCTACCAATACTTCCACCCCCAAAACTGCTAACAACGACGACAACAAGAACAGCACGGTTAATGATAGTGATGCCAATGAGACCGAAAAGAATGACACTAGCTTTTCGGCTCAGCCCCCAGCAGAGACTATACTGCCGGATGAGAATACGGCTCAGCCAAGATTGAATTCAAAATCGGATGTAGTGTCAGATGACTCTTCGACCTTAAATCGTCGTCAGGACGAACCTTCAGGTCCCAATCCTCAGCAGGACGAACCTTCAGGCCCCAATCCTCAGCAGGACGAGCCCTCAGGCGCCAACCCTCACCACGACCACCCTTCAAGTCCCAAACCCCAGCAGGATGGTCCCAATCCTGAGCAGGATACTGCTCCCGGTGCCCAGGAGTTGCCATCAGTTAATGGTGCTATCAATCCTGGATTGGAGAATCGTATTAAGATCAACTTAGGATCAAGCTCAAAGCAAGAAATGCAAGAGCTTAGGAGGAGACTTGAACGTGAGCTTGATACCGTGAGAAGTTTGGTCAGGAGAATTGAAATGAAACAGAGGCAGTTGGGTGGCCATGGCAATTCAAATTCTCTGGTGAACGATAGAATTGGTAATGCTATTGGAGCAAGACGTGTTCAGTCAGGGGTTGCATCTGTTGGCATTCCACGGGAATCTGCCAGACATTTGCACCAGTTAAGTATATCAGTGCTAGAGAATTGTCAAGGTGTCAGTGAAACTGTTGAAAAGGAGAAGAGAACGCCTAAGGCAAACCAGTTATATAGAAATTCAGAGTTCTTGCTAGGGAAGGATAAGTTCCCTCCTGCAGAGAGTAATAAGAAGTCAAAACAGAACGGAAAGAAACAGGGCGGGGGAGAAATGGGACATGGTTTTGGGATGGGATCAAAATTTTTCAAAAGCTGTAGTTCGTTGCTTGAGAAGTTGATGAAACACAAGCATGGTTGGGTGTTTAATGCTCCTGTTGACGTTGAGGGGCTTGGATTGCATGATTATTTTAGCATCATCACACATCCTATGGACTTAGGTACTGTGAAAACGAGGCTGACCAAGAATTGGTACAAATCGCCCAAGGAATTTGCAGAGGATGTGAGACTGACATTTCGTAATGCAATGACATATAACCCACCTGGACAAGATGTTCATGTAATGGCAGAGCAGCTATCAAAGATATTTGAGGACAGATGGGCTATAATAGAATCAGATTACAATCGTGAAATGAGATATGGATTAGATTATGGGTCAACCCTTTCCGCGCCATCGCCATTATCTAGAAGGGCTTCTACAATACTTCCACCTCCCCTTGATATGAGACGGATTTTGGATAGGTCAGAATCGATGACACAACCTCCAAAATCCATGAGCATTACTCCATCAAGTAGAACCCCTGCTCCAAAGAAGCCAAAGGCAAAAGATCCTTATAAAAGAGACATGACATATGAGGAAAAGCAAAAACTGAGCACAAACCTCCAAAGCCTGCCGACAGAGAAGCTAGATGCAATTGTACAGATCATTAAAAAGAGAAATTCTGCACTTTCGCAGCATGATGATGAAATTGAAGTGGACATTGATAGTGTAGATGCTGAGACTCTTTGGGAGCTAGATAGATTTGTGACCAACTTTAAGAAAAGTTTGAGTAAGAATAAGAGAAAAGCTGAGCTTGCCATTCAAAGAGCAGAAGCTGCCAAGAATGCCTCACAAATGGTATACCCTTTATCTGAAGTTCCTGGCCACTAGCCTGTGTTTGGGAAACAATTATTGCTAAAAACAATTATTTTGTGGTTTTTTTGTAGATGCTGGAACCTGCTGCAGTCATGGCTCCTCAAGAAACCATAGCTGGTAAATATTATTTGGCTGAATGGTGATGTTTGAACTATTAGTTCTGAATGGTGCTGCGGTCATGACTTGCATATGTTGTCTGGCTGTCTCTGAGCAGGTGAAAGGAATATTTCTGCATCATTTCCTGCGCAAGTTGAAAAACAGGTGGATAATGGGAGTAGGTCAAGCAGTTCTAGCAGCTCAAGTAGTGATTCTGGATCTTCTTCAAGTGGTACTTTGATTTACAACTCGATAATATATGTCCCACCTCATATGTAGGCATACAAACATTTACTTCTGGGCATTGTAGTTGAAGACTAAGTGTTCTATCTTTGTCATTTTTATGCATTTCTGCAGATTCTGATAGTGAAAGTTCATCAGCATCTGGATCTGATGCAGGATCACCGAGGACCTGAATTAATTTTATTCTCTAAGGTAGAATCACAGATTTAACATGTCATTTGCTCTTCGTTTGGTCTAAAGTACATTGTGCTCTTTTTTTTGGTTAATGGTTATTCACATGGTAGAGAAAGGCGGCTGTAGCTTTCAAGATGAAGTTTTTGTCATCCACTTTTTTGTTTGTCAGGCATTATCTTGATCTGGTTCCTTCAAATTTATTGCTAGCTGCTTTATCTTCCCTATCATGTTATCGAATGCATGCTATGCCTTTTGTTTGTATCCTTCCTCACGATAGGGGATTGTGCTTTTCTTATGTTTGGTTTTGTTGTTTTTCTGTGCCTAATAAATAGAAACTTAATTGAAGCTTGTAGGCCAATACCAAGCCTTTACTAGATGGGCGACTATGTGTAAATTTTATTTGGGTTAAATCCAATTTTTGGAACCAAGGTTAAATGGTTGCTAAATTTGTTTGATATCTTGAACTGGTTTGAAGTATGGAAACAGTTAAAAATGGAGTCTTGGTGCTTGTGTCATAATCACTAAATATTAAGCCATTTTATATAATGAGCCCCCTTTGAAGGAAAAAATAGGGCATCATCCTATATGCAGGGCACCTTATGACCATATTAAGATATGGTTTCTGTTTTCTCACTATATATATGGTTTTGGGGATTTCTAGCCTTGTTTATTGGTCAGCCCTGTGTGTCCCTGCGCCTGATTGTCAGAGAGTATCTTTTTATAATTCTGATATTATAAAAACATATCTTTTTACAAACAAGTGTCTAGCTTACATGGAAATGTAATTCGTACGTCACTAATGACCTTGTTTAGAAATTATTTCTCTACGATAGGTACAATGAATTTTTTGTCTTCAGGCTTAGTCCTATCTAGGGTGATGATGGTTTTAAAATAACTATTTGGTAACTGTTTCAGATGGGACTCGTATTCAATATCTACTGCTAATTGTTTTGTCAAGTTTATCCTGTTGGGTGTCATGATGTTACCCTTGTTAGCTTCCTCATCATAATAAATCTAATGGATTCATGTTTGTAGTGAAGTCCTCAGTGGCAATTAATCTGTATGCGTCCCTAGTTTGTTAGACGAGTGGTGGTCATGCGTGTGAAACGCTGGATATGTCATTTTTGCCGTTGATTGTTTGGAGCTTGGCTCTGGTTTTCTATTTCAAGTGTATATGCTGCATTAGCCTGGGTTTCTTATTTTCCATCATAGAAATGTCGTGGAACTCTCTAACCTTGTAGCTTCATTATGGTCTAATGAGTTCCAAATGATTATTGGATTTTAGGAGAGCACTGCACAGTAAGCCCGGAAAAAAGTGCTCAGTATATGGTCTTTATCTTGAATAATAACTCAACATATTTAATCCTTTAAAATGTGTGAAAGTTCCAAACTCTGACTAACATGTTTAGCCCAGGAAAAGAAGTTCCAAATGATTGCTTCATTTGCACATGTGTGAAATACTTGATTGGCTGCCTCTTAAGATTATTATCAATAATTTACAAAGAATTATGAAATTGTGGTAAATGCTAACTGGTTTTCGACCTTTTATTTTCATTTCATGTGGCAGTTGTCAGGTATTTAGAGTAGATAGTTGATGATATGAAGCTTCCATGTTATGGATCTAAATTTAGCAGCTGGTGTAGAGGGGAAGCATCACAGTCAAGGCCACCAGTGATCCTATCCTACAAATGCAGTATGGGATCTTTTTCTTCCCGTTTATTGGGGCTGTTTGCACCATTGCAGCTCATGGCCGTATTTGTTTCGACACGAACTTTTGTATAATATTCAGTAGAATGTTGTGATAATTGGATAGGATTTTAGATAGTTTTTCTGTAGCATGTGTACATTGCTAACTAGTGCTACTCATCAAGTTCCATTGGTGACTTGTTTCTTTGGTTTTGTGGTGGCATATTCAGGATTCTTGGTCTTATACAAAGATATTCTGTAATCCCAACTTCTTGAAGTCATTATTGGTTCACATGAAATCTCATTCCATGTTGTGGTATCCTGAGTTAGGCATTGGGTTGGTTCATACTTAATAAACCTTAGGGAGATGCTACTTTTTGTTTCTTTCAATCAAGCGAGTTCATCTTTTGCTCTGGTTTTGTTTTGAAAGGTTTTGTAATATAATATCCTGGGCATCTTAGCAGTGAGTGAGCAAAAGTGATCGTCTTTCCTAGCTGTCAGGTGGATGGTAGTTGAGATGACAACAACTGTACAGTCAAGGTTCTTTCATGCATCCCTCATAGGTTCTTCTGATTAAGCTGTTATTTCGTCAGTTGGGTAATTCTGGAAGGACCAAAAGGAATTGTGAAGGACCCTTGCTATCGCTTTTTAGGTTCAAGCAAAATATATAGTGTGTTTCAGAATAGTTAAAATGTTCTTTTTTTATCTTCATTAATTGTTTTTTATGACAATGAATGATGAATTTATAAAGGATAGTTTAAAAAATTTATAATAAATGTCTAATAAAAAATGTAATCTTGTTTCTATAAAAAAATATAAATTAAAAGTGATAATTTTTTTTATAAATGAATACGGTGGGGGTATTACAGTAAAAGTTTGAATGTCTTTATGGAATAATAATATTTATAGTACAAAATCTATTGCGAATTGTCAGAATCTCACCGGTATAGATATACCGCTTTCCAGTCTAGCAAGGGTTAGAAACATGCAATGTGACGGGGGATCCTTGTGCTCTATATTGCCAATTTTCGTCTTCTAAGTAGAAAGTATTTGTGACATCTTTTCTAACCACGCGTATGAAAAATAAATTTAAAATCATGATTTTTTTTTTTAGCGAAAAATTTAAAATCATGATTGGAACGAGGAAAACGATGAGATCAGAGATGCCAATTGCCAATAGTTTAAGTGATGGAGTAATTCCTTGTGAGAAAGCGAGCAAAGCGTCTTGGTGGTCATGTTCTCATCACTCTCGCGCTGGTCGTCGTGCTCTCATATCGCTACCTCCCATTTCAAGCCCAGGAGTTTCTCTTCGCCGTCTTCCTTTGCCTCTTCGTCTTTCCATTTCTCACCATGGCCAGGTCTCCAAGCGTGGAGGCGAAGTCCTCTCAATGAGAATCGTAATTGGGGACCCAATGGTCCCGAACCCCAGCTCCTTTCGACTGCATTGGTTTCCGACAACGCGCTTGATGTCCGAATTGGTGAAGCTTCTTCGTTAGCGGAGCTAGGCTCGCTGGTTCTTTCCACCGGTGATCCTCTCACCAAGTCCCAACTCTCTCATCTTGCCTACTCCAGGTGGCGCCGCGAAAATCTCCCTCTTGGGCTATCCACACCGCCCACGCGACCTGCCCGACCTGTAAAACCAAAACTGGTTCGTTTTAATTCTGGTCGCCGTAACTGTCTGCGATGTGAAATAATTTTGTGGTTGCCAAAAATGGCGGAGAGGATCATGTTTGTGAGCCTTGTGCATTTCTTTTTTGTTCGAGTTATCGACGCGAGTTATGATAACTTTTAGGCAAATTGTTCTAAAAACAACGGGGGGATTTTTATATTTTTTTTAGGGATTAATACTTTTAGGTTTAACACCCTAACTCGACCCAAAACTGGGGAACATTAGGCATTCCACTTCACGTAGTCCAATTACTTTTGACGGGATATTCTACACGTACTTGAATTCCAAGTAGGGATGAATATTTAGTGAATTAATGCGAGTTATGGACTTTTTTGCTGTTACACTTAGCTTTATGGGACCACACGGTTTTTGTCATGATTGGGTATGTATAGCAAAGTTATTTTATATGATATTCATGTTGTGAAACGCAATTTTTTTAATTTATTTATTTAGGGGGGACTCTGGTGTTTACATTAGTGCATGGGCTATTTCGTGCCAAATGCAGGTCTCTCCTAAGGAAATTCCTGATCCCAAAAACGCAGCTTTGCCACTGAATGCTTATATGCTTCACAATTTGGCCCATGTTGAGCTCAATGCAATTGATTTGGCGTGGGATACTGTTGTTCGGTTTTCTCCCTATAGTGAAATTCTTGGGGAGGGATTCTTTGCCGACTTTGCTCATGTTGCTGATGATGAGAGTCGCCATTTTTCTTGGTGTTCTCAAAGGCTTGCTGAACTTGGTTTTAAGTAAGGATAGTTGGCACTGTGTGCGCGTGTGTTTTACATTGGTTACATTTTTACTTATGCTTTGTGCTTAACTAGATTTTTTGGGAGCCTATGTACATAATTAGATATGGAGATATGTCCGCTCACAATTTACTTTGGAGGGAGTGTGAGAAATCCTCAGACAATGTTGCTGCACGTTTGGCAGTCATCCCGTTAGTCCAGGTAACTTGTTCCGCACGTCCAGTCCTATTCTGAAGTATATGCTTTCCAGTTTCCAGCATGTAAATATATGTTTTAGTGATAAGCTGCTTATTTAATTTGACAATGCAGCTGTTTTCATGAGTCTGTGTTTTGTTATTCCATCTATGTTTTATGGAATGTGACAAGAAGAATGACTCATGCTGATTTTTTTTTTTTTACTGTGAATTCTTTCGTTGGTTCATGGTTTATATGCTGCTTATGAAATCATACATCTCCATGGATTTGAATAACCTTCGACTCTCAAATAGGTCTGACTTGTGAGCACTGATCTTTCTATTGGAACAATTATGAGAATTCTGATTTCTCAATCCTTTTTTGCCTGCAAAAGGTTGGGGGCAGTGCTAGGAGATCCTTTTTTAATTACTCCCTGAATATTGCCTTTCTTTGATAAATGAGTAAAATATCAGTGTTTATTATTGAGCTAACAATTATTATGGAAGTGTTGCTCAATAATAGCCCGAGTGGAAATCAAATTGCTTTACCTTCATGAGTGGGTAGAAGGATTTTTTCAGCAAATTAACCATCGTGCTGGAACAAAAAATTTTATTCATCAAAATACTATACTTTCAAAAATATTTACCAAGATACTACAAATTGAACTCGGCTTCCATGGCATCGAGTTTAATATAGTTAGGAAAAAAATCAAACGTACTTGCTTGCAACTCTCTCTCTCTCGTCTCACCCACGACTGGTTCATGTTCTTTTCTCAGTTAATGTGAGTTATGTGACTCCCCTCTCTCCTCACAAAAGTTACAAACAATTCTCCCCATCCTCATGTATAAACTGGATGTAATATGGAAAGAGATTGAGAATAGGAGAAAAGAGAGAAATCTAGATGAGAATTGAGAGTGTAACTCTCTTATTTGTATATGTTGAAAGTTATGCTGTACTCTTTTTTCCTTAACTAGGGTTTTGTCCCATTGAGCTTTTTTAATAAGGTTTTTAATGAAATAACTTCAATAAATGTAAAGATATTGTGTATTTTTTTTTTCCTTCACTAAATTTTTATCCTATTAGGCTTTTCCTAGTAAGGTTTCGATGAGGTATAATATCTAGACATTTAAGGAAAAGTGTTATGAATATTAGAAGATTTTGTGGATGTCTATATCTTTTAGTTACTCTGAATCTTTTGGTTATTATTATTATTTTGCATATTTTATTTGATTTAATTGATTACACCTGTGCATATAAATAGGAGGCATCTCAATTATATTTAATACACAAAAATAAGAAAGCTCTTAATCCTCTTATTCTTGGTTTCTCTCTTCTCTCCTCTTCTCAATCTCTATTTTCCTAACAAATATATAATTTTTTATCTAAATAATTCATATTACATCTACCATATACATGAGGAGGGGGAGAATTGTTTGTAACTTTTGTGAGGTGTGAGGGGAGTCACATTCACCGAGAAAAGAAAATGAACTAGTAGTGGGTGAGAGGAGAGAGAGAGAGTGGCAAACTAGTAAGCACATTTGATTTTTTTTCCTAACAATACAAAACTCAGTGCCATGGAAGCCAATTTCCATATATGCCTGACACAAATTTTTTGGAACTTGGTATCTGTAACACTGATTTTCAATTTGCAGTATCTTGGTAAATAAAATTTTTTGCTACAGCGTGTTGGTCAATTTGTCAATTTTTTCCTCTATTTTAATGATAACTGACGTGAATCCACCACTAATCTTTTTGCCAATAATTTGGTGTCTACATATCATTTTGTTCTTTCAATTACCTTTATTCTTAATCATACTGCGTTTCATGAGCTACTGCCAACTTTCTGCGGAGGGAAGGTTCCTCAAACAGATGATGCTTCTTTGAGTCAAATATTTGTCATTCTTGTCAAATTGTTGCGAATGTTGTCCCTCAGACATCACATGCTACAGAGATAGAGGTGCTTTGATCAATATGATCTTGATGCTCTGGATGTGCTTATTTATTTTACTTGTAGGAGGCTAGAGGACTTGATGCTGGCCCACGGCTGGTGCAAAAGTTAGTGGGATTTGGGGACAATAGGACATCAAAAATAGTAGCTAGGATTGCTGATGAAGAAGTTGCACATGTAGCAGTAGGTGTCTATTGGTTTGTTTATGTCTGTCAGAAGTTGGATTGCCCCCCTGGCTCAACTTTCAAAGGTTTTTGAAAGCCTGTTAAATCTCATTGCATCTGCTCACTTATGTCCAAATGGAAAGCTTACAAGCTTCAACACAATTCTCTACAACCATGCAGACTTGCTAAAGGAATATAATGTGGAACTGAAGGGTCCATTTAATTTTTCTGCTCGAGACAAGGCTGGAATTCCCCGTGATTGGTAAGAACCTGTTGACTTAGCTGAATCTCAAAGCCTATTCCAGATAATTGACTGCTTGCAATTTACTAATCCTCCTTGCTGATTCTTGATTTGTTTCTTGTGCTTGCCTCGTCTATTGTCTAGGTATGACCCCTCATCTTCTAGCAGTCTTGACGAGAGAGACGAAAATGACCAGAAAAAACAACTCTCTGCGGTAAGCTATTGAGGGTCTTGTGCAAGATTATTGGGCAGATTCAATCTACAAAAGATAAGTAGAAAATTTGTCTAAATGATAAGTAAATCAAGCCAATAATGAAGTGACATATAAATATACTAAAATTGGATTTCATTGAAAAATGTAAATATGAAGCTTAACAATCTCTTCGTGAGTGATTTGGTGTCTTTGTTTTTCTTGGGTATTTTGCCCATGAGTTTTCAAGAGTGTTGCTGTGAAGAGTTTGACCTCATGATTCCACTTCCACCCTTGGATTTTTATCTCGTCTAGAGATTTTTTTAGCATATCTTTAAACACAGAAAAATATCCAAAGGTAGAAGCCTTCTAACATCTCAAGCTGTTGATTTTTTTACACCGAGGCTGTTTTTTGAACAATTGCACTTTCTATAGTTTCAATTTTGGACATGGATGTGTTTAAATCCTCACCAACAATGAAGGGAAGTAAATGAAAGGAGAAGAGCCTTGCAAGCTGATCCACTCTAGAGGGCTCCACATCCCTGTCTCCTCTTCTCCCATTGCATCTCCATTTCAAGTGGGGATTTGAATTCAGATTTGGATGATCTCATGTGGTCAAACGGAAGTGTTAAATTTTTTTTTTTTTGAACTTACTAGTAGTTATGTCACATTTCTGATTTTTTTTTTTGAAATTCTTCCTTTAGAAAAAGAAGGGAAAATTAATCTCCATATGAATATCATCATTAGTACAAGATATAGAGTATAGGAAGCTGCTTGAAGTTATGTAAGAAGAAAAGAAGTAAATATTGAGCATATTTTTGTGCTAGCCTTTTAATTTGGAAACACTTTAATCTCTCTCCGTTAAAGAGAATTAAAATTATCCAATTTTAGTAGGTCTTTCACCAAAATGGTGAGTATGTGTGTGCTGTTGCAGGTCCGCGAGAGGCTGGCTTCCATTATTGATTTGGAAGGTGAGAATTTTAAGTTGACCAGGTGATGGATTGGAAGGTGCTTGAAGCATCCTTCCTTGATTTGAGGCCAATTCCAGCTCGCCACCCTTTGCTTTGGCACGCCCACGACCCGGCTTTAAGATTTATGCAAAGTGTTTTGGATTCTTTTAGAATTAAGACTTTTCTGTTTTTGTTCTTTCGGGGGCCATTGAGACTTTGGTTCTTATCCTTGCAGTATATATTCCGCGCGATTGCATCTTTTTATTTTATTTATTTATCTTTTATTTATTTATTTATTTATTTTTTGCCAAGAGAAGAAAAATAAGTATTGTAGTTTACTCTGGTTTTTTTTATAAGTTCTTTCTATCAATTTTATCAATACTAATATAAAAAAAATATAAGGAATAAAAATGTGTAGAATTTTAAATATGTTCATGTATAATAAATTTAAAAAATAATATCATATTATTTTTTTAAGGATAATTTTAAAAATATATTTTAAATATTATTTAAAAAATTGCATAATAATTTATAAATGAAAGTAAATAGACTTTTTATGAAATGCTTTATAAATGGAACCAAGGAGTATACATTAAAAAAGTATTCATGATCAATGGAATATATATTAAGTAAGAAACAATGTGGAGCTTTTAGCCTCCTAGTGCAAGGTTGGTTTATAATAGATGATTATGTCTATTCATCCATATGTATAAAAAAGATGATTATACTGTAATTGTAATATGAAAAAAATCCACACAAAAAAGACCATTTAATTTGATTTTTTCATTCAAAGCATGCAGTGGGATAATAATCAATAGCAAAAGCCATATTCAATATTAAAACGGAGATGTTCTTAAAGTCAGAAATTAGACGTGGCCTAATAATTTAGAAGAGAATAAGGGTCATAATTCTTTATCATTGAAAACGGAAAAGGAAAATGAAAGAGGTTCAAGCTTGCTTTGATCGGAAACTTCTTAGGAGCATGGGGTTTACTTTCATATGTAAAGCCAGAAAACGTGTCTTCTCTTCCTAATCATAACAGAGCAGAATTTCCCATACCTACTCCTTCATCTCTCTCTCTCTCGCTCTCTCGCTCCATTTCACACGCCAGAAGAACAAAGTTGCAGACTTGTGCAAACAGCTCAGAGAAAGACAATGTGTAGTGCAGACGGCGATTGCAGGCCTTTAGGGTTCCTTCTGGGTCTTCCCTTCGCCTTCCTCTCTCTTCTCCTTTCCGCCGTCGGCCTCGTCGTCTGGATCATCGGGTATCCTTCCTATCTTTTATCACCTGATTATCTTCGATTTCTCTGTGATACTTCAATTTGTAATTTTTCTGTGATGCTGTAATTTCAATCCAAATTAAATTGAAACAGCACGTGCATGCTTACCTGAGTACTTGGTTTTGATTGATTTGGATTTTGATATTTGCAGATTGTTGTTGACATGTATATGCCCTTGCTGCTTGTGCCTGACGGTGATAGTGGAGCTTGCTTTAGAGTTGGTGAAGGCTCCGTTACATGTAATGGAGTGGTTCACTTCTCAGATCCCTTGTTAAGATTTCTGTTTGTTTGAACCATGTCTGCTTTCTGATCATCCTCTTGTTCATATTTTTAGCGCTTTAAAGTTACTATTCATCTGTGGTTTCTCTGGAAAACTATTGCCAAATTCAATTAATTCCAGTAGTAAATTAGCAAATTGAGGATTTCCCCGTCGTGTTTTGTTTTTTGCCTGTTTATTGTGCATATGTCGTTGTTGATGACAGTGGAAACAAACCGCTATAGTTTCTGTAACACAGATCTAGAAGAACTTTCCGTTTGATCTTTGGATCACCAGTATAATGATGTGGTGTCTGCATCGAAGGGCAAAATTGAATATTATTGTGTATACTGTAGAGCAATGTTTTCAGAATCGAAACTGAACATTGAATTGAAAAAATCAACTATTGACAGTTTGTATGATTCAATCAGATCATTGGTTCAACTGACGTAATAATTAAATTAAAAAAAAAATTATATATATATATATATAATAATTTAAATATAAAAAATATTTATGAAATTGTTATTTAACTTGAAAAAATTAAATATTTTAAATTTATCATGATTTAATAAATCACATAATATAACATAATATTAAATTATTAAAAAAATTAATCTTGTTTTAAAAAAATTTGATAAAAAATAAAAAAAAAATTTTAACAATTTAATTTTTGAAAATCAGATTTAGTTTCAGGCTCGATTTTGATTGTCGGTCCGATCGTTGGTTCAAAATGACTCAACCCGACTCAATTTTTAAAACGGCTTTTTCTTTTGAACTAGACTGAAAATTAGATCGGTCGATGGTCAGACCGGTTCGACTGACCGCTCCGATTCGGTTTTAAAAACACTGTTATAAAGTCTAATTTTTTATAATAAAAAACAATTCTCTCTTTTATATATTCGATTGCACAGTACACGTGATTATGAGATGCTGATAACACGGATAAATAATGTTTCTATACCACTCAGTTGAGCTTGTACAGTGTATACTGAGGTAGAATATTGAGGAAATCGACATTAAAAAGCAAACAAATGAAAATCGTCGGAACATTGTATTATTTCTTGAAGACAATTATATTATCATCTATACAATGTGCTCTCTTCCTTAAAAAATATAAAATATTTTAATTAAATTTTATCTTTCAATAAAACAGTTATCTATTTTAAAATTAATCTTATTTTTTTATATTTATTTTTATTAAATATCCTATAATAAATATAAATTATTATTAATAAAGATATTTAAAAAAATAATGATTACACCTTGAAAGATTTAAAAATATTTTATATTTTTAAATATTCAACTCTTTAAAAAATATTTTATATTTTTAAATGAGAGGAGTATTTATCAATCATCACAAAACAATATCTAATACTAGTTCAATTCAAATTCATATCTTGAAAATTGGTTCAATGTATCTTGTCTGATTTTTATGAGTTTTATTGAAATGAGATCAGTTAAATACTTAAATTGATTCTAAATACGTGCTAAATATGGATAAATGAACAAGGAAAACTTATTGAAGTTTATTACTAGTTTTTTCAAAACAAAAGAAGGAAAGAAAGTAGGTGTGGAGATTTCTCTAACGAGGTTAGATTAGGCAGTGCATGTTTGGATTATACTGTAACTTCAGTTAGTATAGGTGAAACTGAGGTTAAGATGCAAAACACTAAAAAAAATTTGTTTGGATTAACATAATTTTTCAACCTCAATTAGCTGATAAACGCGCATTATTTATAAAGCCAACTGATCTGGCTTTTGAAGCTCAGCGTTCACGTTTGCCCGTTAAAGCATTAAATGCATTTTAAAATTTATTGCTTTTCTCTCTTGTCTTCTAGCTACCCAAGCTGCTCCTTGCTTCCTGTACATGTTGCTTTTACCCGTGAACACACTTCCAGATCTACTTCCTTCGGCCAGTCTTCTTCGGCCAGTCGTCTTCCCAATCTGCCTCAAAACACACTTCTAGATCTGCTTCCTTCAGCTAGTCGTCTGCTTTGTTTGCTTCCTTCAACCAGTCGTCAGCTTCGTCTGCTTCCTGCGGCCAGCGTCTGCTTCCTTCAACCAGTCGTGGATCTCCAGCTCTCTTCTATTAGTCTTTTTTTGTCGATCTTCAGCTTTCTACCGTGTCCTTGCGTCGAAGTGCTTCTTCTCCTTATTGCCTCTCGATCTCTGCAGTGTGAACCAGATCTGCACTTCGGCCAGTCGTCTACTTCGTCTGCTTCTTATCTCTAGATCTACTCCATAGCACTTGTCCTTGCCAAGTAAGGTCATTATTTTCGTCTCCTTTGTTGCCTTATTTCCTGTTGTGCTCTACTGTTCCTTCTTTGAAGACTTTTCTTCCTTGACCCGTCATGCTCTGCTGCTCTGGAAAGTGATGTGCTTGTTATTATCCCATGTCCATCCCCTGTTTGTTTATTTTAGAGCAGAGGAAGATATACGTGTACATTTGTTTCCTATCCTGCTTGTTATTTTCTTTACTTTCCATCCCTGTTCGTTCTGGAACTCAAGTTGCTGATGTTCATCTTCTTTTTCAATCCCATGCGATAATACGTGCGTGTAACATGAGTACAGATGCCCATAAGTGTATGTCTTCCCCTGTTCGGTTATTTATAATGCTGTTAAACACTCACATTGGAAGTAGGACGAAATATGACAGCTCCTTCAACATCCGGAGGGAACACACGTTTGCTAGGCTCTGGACATTTTGATTCTGAGCAATTTTCAGAACTTTCAAATCCCTTTTGTTAATTAATACCCGAGATTTTTCTTATTCAATCATAGGAAACACTAAAGTCAACCTGGATTTAGTTAGATCTTGATATCTTCTCTGCCTTTAAACTAGAGACTTTATTAGGTTATATATACCACATTGTTAAAATATCATTTCATGATTTAGCTATAGCCTTGTGGATCCTCTTCATTTTGTCAAAGCTAATTATTTAGCTCTTTTGATCATGTTTAGATTTAGTTTTTCCTTACCCCTTTGTGACCACAAATGCTATTCCCAAAGTATGTAGGTGGCTACATGTTTTATTTTTCTAGCCAGCCAGACTTGATTTTTGAGATGGGAATTTTCATTTAATCATGTATTTGATGGTCTTAATTTTTTTTCTTTTTGAGAGTAAGGTTGCGACCAGGTCACACAAGACTACAGAGTAAAGTATTTTCTTTTTTCAATTAATCTCAATCAATCTTCTCCAGCTCAGGAAAGAGGATTTGTAAATATAGCACGATTATTATCATTATCACTATCATGCTTCAATTCTTTTTGTGCAAGTTGCATTATTTTAAATTTTTGTTCTTTATTATATAAACTCCATGAATTTGAAAAATGCCAGACTGAAAATAGGAGATATATACTGATTTTGCATATATGTAGAGATATATATTGATTTTGCATGTTTGTGATGGCTAGCTAGTCTATACAACAATGAACAGTGATAAAGGAAAAGCTGTGTGGAATTCAACTTTAACAGAAATCTTCATTAAAGAATGCTTGGAACAAGTGTACAAGAAACAAAGGAAAGGAACTGCTTTCAACAAAAATGGGTGGCAGGCAATAATTGAGGGGTTTGAGGCAAAAACAGGAAAAAGGTATGAGCGAAAGCAATTGAAAAATAAGCTAGATAACATGAGGAAAGAATGGAACGTATGGCATAAGTTGTTTTCAAGTGAAACCGGCTTAGGATGGGACAGTGACAAGAATACTGTTCATGCTCCAGATGAGTGG